GACAGTGTCAATATTGGGAGGCCATGGTCCAGGGCTTTGCAAAACCTGTAGTACAGATTTTGAGTCAGTGACCACAACAATCTGTGTTGTCCTCAAATGTCCCTTTGAGAGTCAATGACTTTTAAGGCTTCACAGACTGCCATGGTCTTTGCATCAAAACTGCAAACACTACCACATGGTCAAAAGATTTTGACTGAGTGAGAGCCAAGAAAGTCGATGTAGGCTCCATGGCCTGCTTTTCCAGAATCTATCAATGCCGACCCATCAGTGTACGCAAAAATAGCACTGGGCTTGAAGGTAGTAATGGTCTCCAATGCTAGAATTTGAAGGTCATTAGATGAACGACTTAGCTTAGTGGCATTAGTTTCAAATGTATGTCTGGGGTCGTTGGGCGACACCAAGGGGGAAGGGGATGAAAACGGTGAATGTTTTGTCGGTTGGTGGAGAGGCCAGCTTTTTCAGATAGTCTAGTGGCATGATGCATAAAAGACTGCATCTGAATACGTCTTCTGTATCTCCAAGCATCCACTAGTTTTCTAGCCTTTTATACCGCTCAAAGCAGTTCAGTACTGACCTTTCCCTCCTAAGGTTTAGTCGACCTACATTAGCCATTATTTCAGCCGCATTTACTGCACTTGTCCTAAAGGTTCCACAGACAAATCTTAGTGCTTGAGACAGTATTTTATCAAGTTGTTCAAGAGCAGTCCTAGAGCCATAAATTTGCACAGGTAGGCTGTAGTCTATCTGTGATCGGACTGCTCCTAAATACAGTGATCGGAGCATGTCTTCTCGGGCTCCCCACTTCGTAGATGCCAGCTTCTGCACAATGCAAAGTTTCCCTGAGGCCTCTTTTGCAACATCCTGAATGTCCTCACACATTTTTAGTTTGCGATCTAAAGTTACACCAAGGTACTTGGGTAGCTTTTCCATGCTGAGAGCCACTCCATTGAGGGAGAGCCGGAAAGGTAGCCCGAGAATGCCAGTCCCGAGCATTAACAGAGAATAGACCGTCTTGGAGGTGTTTATTTCTAGCCTCCATTTTTTTGTGAACGAGCAGAGTGTATGGAGATCTTCTTGCAACACTTTTTGTATAGAGGTTGCGCTCCTTCCGGATTTCCAAAGAACAATATCATCAGCATATAGCAGCTTTTGGCATTTTAGCTGAGCCAGTAGGTCATTTATGAATGCCGTGACAAGAGCGCATGACAGGATGGAGCTCTGGGGGAGGCTGTGCTTGAGGGTCATTTCCCCTGAGACTTCTCCGTACATTCTTGTTCTTATTGTACGCTCTTGTAGGAAGCCTCTAATTCTGTCAGGGTGGGATAACAGTTTAGCTAGGGTATGATATTACGGTCTCGTATCCCCAGCCTGAACAGAGTAATGCAAGAACCCAAAGGTAATAGCATTGTAAACTACGAACATTGAATAAAAATTATTCAACTGAACATTTAGTGAATAACAACAGTTGTCAACAGGGACAATATTTAATAATACTTAATTATAAGTTAACAATATATTTACATATACATCAATATCATTGATGTTAGCATTTGATTAATACTTAGTCCAATATCACAGCAATAAGTTTCAATAACACACATTTCACGCTCACACTCCATCTCGGCGCCCTACAGACCATCAACCCCCTACACCGCAACAACGATAGTTACTATACGACTCCAAGGGCGGAAAGGCGACATACTTTCCCATAGCCTAAAGCCTAACACCCTGAAACAAAAGAAAACCTAGATCTAGCGATGCCGCTTCAACAAAGAACTTTTCAATAGCGACACCTGTACCGAAAGATCAGCCTACTTAATAAAATTATGTACTTACGTACCCTTACAATGGGGAAACAAACAACCAGCTACCCAGCTAACAAAAGAAGCTCTCTCTCTCTTGTGGGAACTAAGGATGACGTAAACACACACATACACAATATTCTAAACAACAAAACGCACTTAAAAGAAACTACTTCCTTTACACTAAAACACCACTATTAAATACAAAGAAAACTTCACGCCCGCACAACAAATATATCCATCCCCGCACCTCCACGGCTCTTATCTTATAAAGCAAACCAGGCTGCCATACTTTATCATATGCCTGTTTTAAGTCAATGAACATTGCACAGGTGTTGGTCCAACGTTCTCGTTTTTCCCTGTTAACAGACGTTTTTACTGGTAGACTGAGTCTGCCTGAATGTTGGATTGTTTGGGTTCTTTTGGACCTTTCGGTATGCCCTTTTCTGAGCCATAACAAGTTTGTTGATTTCAGCCGTCCACAAGTTTTTGAATTTTTTACAAGTGTAAGTTTGAGGAATAAACTTTTTAGCCATGCCCAGGATAGCTGTTGCTATTTGACAAGGTCGATAGAGCTAGACTCTAAATGGATTTTTTCAAGGGCATTGTCGACAGCTGTTTCATATCTTTTCCAATTAGCCTTACTATAGCACCACTTTCATGGTTCTTTAGTGGCCTTGGTGTTGATTTTAGAAAGAGTGGCAGTCAGTAATATTGGAAGGTGGTCACTGCCTATATCGCCTAGTACTTGATAAGTTATGACAGTTCCAAGTTAGCAGAGACTAAAGAAAGATCTGGTCGCTTTCTGTTAAACCTTTGTATTTTAGTTAGGGAAAAGGATGGAGGGGGGGAAGTGATAATAGCCAAAAGTGTGTGTGTGTGAGGCGTTAAGAACAAGTTATTCCAGTTCAAGTCAAAGGTGTAAAAAAAATCAAAAGGGGTAGCAAAAGAAAAAGAGAGAGAGAGGACAGATAAAAAGTGTTCTGGGCAAAATAAAAAAATCTGTTTTCTAAGAACCAATCAACAGTCAAATTATTGTATAAGCTATTTGTTCTAGGAATCAGTCAACAATCAAATAATTCTATGAGCTATTTGTTCTAGGAACCAATCAACAATCAAATGATTGTATAAGCTATTTGTTTTAAGAATCAATCAACAATCAAATAAGTCTATGAGCTATTTGTTCTAGGAATCAATCAACAATCAAATAAGTCTATGAGCTATTTGTTCTAGGAATCAATCAACAATCAAATAAGTCTATGAGCTATTTGTTCTAGGAATCAGTGAACAATCAAATAATTCTATGAGCTATTTGTTCTAGGAATCAATCAACAATCAAGTAATTCTATGAGCTATTTGTTCTGGTTAAAGAAACTTTGATCTCTTACATTTCCTAGTTTCCTTTGAAGGCTGGTTTTAGATCTTGATAATATAGGGCATTTTCACTGCAGTCATGCTAGTTCTTTTAAATATTGTCTTTATTAATATTATTATTATTTTGTTCAGTTTTTACAACTAGACCAGTTACCAATGACGTAAATGAGACATCTGGATTATTGAGGACTTCAAGAAGCTAGCAGAAGTCAAAAGTGTCATCATTTTCTGTTGTTTCAAACAAGAAACTTGTTGAGAAAAACAGCCATAACTTTGCCGGTGCTCAACTTTATATTTATTTTAATTCTATTTTTGATGTCTTTGCTTTTTAAAAAAAATATTGTTGCAATTTGTTTTAGTTTAAGAATAAAAAAAAAGTATTATTTTAAACAGTTTAATTTTTTTTTGAAAAAAGTAATTTATAAACAATATTATACTTGTTTGTAGTAACCATGTAATATATTTTCTAGTAAAGACTACTAGTTCTCTTTCTTGCTTATACGTTGTAAATGTAAAACTAATTATTTTTATCTAGGCCTTCATATTTGAAATGAAAGGGTATTTTTATTGTGGTAATTTTATACATTTATATAATAAATTATTGAGTATATGCTTGTTTTAATGTATCAGATGTTTTTGTTTTTACCCTAGGTGGAAAAAAATGTAGTGCAATTTTAGCTATGTTAGTTTAGCTTCCATCATTGACAATGTGACCAACATTTTTGTGCTTATTTAACTGAAAGTGTTTTCCATAAGTATTTTTTTTAACCTATGTTTTTTTCCCCTTTTATTTCATTACTTTCCTGCAGATGTTCTTATTGTCATGGAAACTGCTGCACTTAAAAATAAAGTAGCCTACTTGAATACTTAGGAAATAAGTACTTGAATACTTAGGAATAAAGGGCATGAATACTTAGGAATAAAGTACTTGAATAGTAAGGAATAAAGTACTTGAATACTTAGGAATACAGTACTTGAATACTAAGAAATAAAGTACTTGAATACTTAGGAATAAAGTGCTTGAATACTTAGGAATAAAGTGCTTGAATACTTAGGAATAAAGTACTTCAATATTAGGAATAAAGTACTTGAATTAATGATTCAGGTATATATTATTCAATCTACTTATTTATGTATTTAGTTTTTTTCTTTAACCAGTGAACATTCAGAGTTGTATGGCAGATTCTTTTGCATGTTAACTCTACTTCAAGAATGTTTTAAGATTCTACTTCAATTGTCTAGTTCCTAATTTCCTAGTTTACTCACATTTTTCTCCATTATCACTTTTAAAAGCAAGTTCAATCATTTCTTTGTTGTAAAAAAGAAATTCAAACCCTGATATATTCAAGATTGTTGTTTCGAAGAAGTGAAACATACACTGAAATAGCATCATAAGTGATATAGCTGACCTGTAAATAGTTAAACTATTTGAATTGCCCATTTAATTTTGTTTTATATTTCAAGGTTTGCCAGTATTTAAATGATTTTTTATTAAAGTAAAATGTTATATTTTATACATATTTCTTAAAACATTTTAATTGGAATTTAAAGAAATTTACCTAATTTTCTTTTATTCTTTTATAATTTAGCTACTTTTGTTAATTAGTCATTTTTTGATAGATTTAGCTATTTTTTGGTTCATATCATTTTCTAGTCAGTCACAGTTTTGAATTTCTGTTCATAGCAAAAAATCTAGTACAGTGGGATTCTTGTAATCACATTCCACATAATTCACATAGCCAAACAGCAGTGGAAAAAAGTTTAAAAACTCAACTAAAAAATGTTAATTAAACTGTACTAACTTTTCATAACTTTTTTTTTGGGGGGGGGGGGGGGGGGGGGGATGCGGGGTTGAATTTCATAGGACACAGCTTTGTGATCATGATTGCTGAAAATGTGTTTTTGTAACCTTCACTTTTGTTGCAGGACATCTAGGTAGTAGCCACATTTTCAATTCTCATCCACCATTATTGAAGTTAAAATTTGGCAACTCAAAGTAGAATCATGAACCAATTTTTATTGTCACAACACTGAGATTAAATACCTCACTTTAAAAATGAAAGCTTTTGCACTTAAGATGCTTTGAATGTTTCATTCTTGGTTAAAATAAATAATGTGGATGAGATGTCCAAGCACTGTAACAGTCTTGTAACACAGGGCATGTTCAAGTAATTAAATCCACCTTTAATAATTGCATCCCCATATGGTCCAATTAATAGACAGTCTAAAAATAAGGACTATTTGTTCACCAGATTATTATATCAGCATCTAAATCACACGATATTTAAAATAGTAGGTACAGCATGAGTAAGGCTTACACTAAAACTGTGATGTAATTGAGATTTTATGTACATATAAAACAACATTGTAATGTACAATTTATACTAGTCAATGTTTACTTATTCACCTAACATGGGTTTCATAGCCTTGCTTTTTATTTGGTAGAGGTAAAATTTTATGAACAAATAGTGCCTGACATTGAGTGCAATAAACAGATTATGTTATAAAATACAAATGAAGACAATATTCTAAATGTCATTTCCACAATTTCTTGAGTTTGTCTTTAAGGCATCATTTGTATATAGCAACAAACAACAACATTGTTACTGTAATCCTGAAACAAATTTTGTTGATATTCTAATTTTTATTGAGATACAACTAATATTATGAAATTTTTACAAACATTGTCATCTTAAGTCGTTGTGATTTATTATGTTTACTTGTATGTATGTATGTAAGTATGTATACTTGATGGGTCGGTTGTTTTTTATAACAATTGTTTACACAAATTTTTTTTAGCTTTTCTCTGTGTATGCAGCAGTTTTCCCTTCAGACCATAGTTTATGCATCATTTTTTGAGATTATTTGTACAGATTTGAAATTTAATATTAGGATTTTTTTTTTTAAAGAAACGCATCCTAAAGAATATGTATGAATCTAATGGATGTATGCTATATTTCTCATAAATCAGAGTGTTAAAACAAAATATATTTAGCTTTGAAAACAAAGTTCTTGTTTATATGTAGAAATTAATTACAACAATGTACAATCTTGTAGCTTGTGTAATTACCAGTGATTGGAATCTCCTAAAAATTTATTCAAATCCTGATGGACCTGATTTCCATCAATAAAGAAAAAAAAGATCCAGGTTTTTTGAAAAAGAAAAGCAAAATAACTGCAGTGTCTTGTATGATTGTTATGTGTATTTGTACAACAGAGCATTCAATATAGTACATGTTGCATTTTTTTGATATTGTGAAACAACTCCATATTTATGTTGCACATTAAAACTTTCTTGAAATTTTGTCAAAGTCTGTTCCCATCACTGAACTGCAAAACAAAACTGTTTTTATTTCTTTGAATATTGTGCCTTGTTAGTATTTCAGTTACAGTAGAATCTGCTTTATTTAAAGTTGTAGGAAACATGAGGTGCCTTCCAATTGTATTTGAATTACACTTCAAGAAGGGAAATAAGTAAATAACATATTTTACAAAATTGCTTCCCTTTTTTATTAAAAGTCTTGCATATATGAAATGTTTCTTTTTATTTTAGACAAAGTATTTGCCAAAATATTGTATTACATGCACTGTTGGTTTTTTGGGGAGTGAATTTTTTTTTCCAGGCTTCATTTTCTTAATTATTATTTTTTTCAAAAGATTTGGAATTTAAGAAACTCATGACGCCAAACTGCTTGGAAATTCTAATTTTGATTTATGCTAGTTTGAATTATCCGAATCTATTATATTGGTTACCAAGGTCAATGATTTGAATATGGTGTAGCCTCATTGTTTAATGCATGTTAATTAATAAAGGAAATTGCTTTCTAATAGTCCCTCTTGAGGATGAATTAAAAAAAAAATACATGTTATAAATAAATGCATAAATAAAGATTTTTAAAAATCCCATCATAATGTAATATGTTAAAATTGAAGTTTTGGAATTGAGTTTGCAGTAAAAAAATCTAATTGTAATAAATATCTAGATAAACATTTTGGGACTGTTTTTCCTATAGTTCAATTATAACCAAGTTTTTTTTTTGTAATGGTGCACGCCCTTTTGAAAAAAATTATTACTTTCCTTGTATTTTAACATATTTTATAATTTTTAGTAAAAGTTAGGCAATTAACTACTGAGTACCGGCACCTATTTTTTATTTTGACAAAAAAAGCACTGTGTGTGCAACTCAAAAACACAAATGATAAGAAATAAACTGTTTATGACTTTATTGTTGAATTTATAAAAAGTAAATACATCAATGAATATTAATTTTAAAAGCACAAACATCAAAACACGTATAATATGCTAATATCTATGAATGTTAATAGTTTCATGACACTTATTTAGCAGCTGTAAGTATGATAATACAAATATTTGCAGGCTTTTTTTTTAAAGTCTCACTTTCTACTAAATCTCTACAATCCTAACCAACAACATACAAGAAAAGGCCTTGCTATAACATGATGAAAACAATTAACTGATAGTGGGTGTTTTATTCACATTATAATGATTAAAATAGATCTCAACTTTCTGTTTAAAAGACAAATATTTCCAAAACGATATAATGTTAGGAATTGTATAGAGGTAACAAAAGTAGCAACATTATACTAGATAATTTGACTTCAGTTACTTTGAATAGTAATTCATTATAAGTGTAGGACTCACAGCTACACAGAATGTGTCACATACATTATTATTCACCCTTTTTTTTACATTTAAATTTCAAGATTAATGCACGTTTCACTCAATATTATCTTTATCAACCTTGTTGATTCAAGACATGATTAAATACAACTCTAGTGTTACATATGAATTGATTAAAAGAAACCTACTGAGAAAACAAAACTAATTAATTCTAATTGTGATCAAAGTGATGAAGTAACAGAATTTTTAATAATTGCTACATCTAAAATAAGTCTTTTTAGTTTTTCACATAAAATTTATCAAACCTTTATCCTTATTATCCAATCAATTCTATTACGTAAATATTGTAATTGAAAGTAAAATAAATAAATAATTTCATCGTTCTGCAGATGTGTAAGTTGAAACAAGTTTTTTGTATCCTCCAAAAAACAAACAAAAAAATTAATTTGCCAGAGACACCAAAGAAAAATTTTTCTAAGGTTATTACAAACATAGGAAAAGTCACAACATTTTTTATGCAATCCCTAAAAATCACCTTGTGAAAAAGCAAATTGAGAACCTTTAAAATCTTGTTTAACATTCATAAAAGTTTTAAAGCTGAAACCAAAAAAATAAAAATAAATGCACTTTGAAGAAAAGATATACCACAAAACACTGACTCACTTAGACTAGTTCATCTTAGGGGGTAAATGTAAAGATGTTTTAAAGAGATAAAAAGTACCATTACCTAAAACAAAGATATCTAAACAACTATCTTTATGTGAATTAAAACAATGAGAGTATTATAAAAATATTTCTACTTTTCACCGGATACAAGAGGTTCACATAAACAATAGGCTTGTATACAGCTCTAGAAAGAGAGAGACATCTGAATAAATGAGTATTCATAATTAATTGAAGGTAGCTATATTCCCTGTGTGTCATAGACCATTAAGCCATCAATCATTCATGATGTTGAAAAAAATGATCTTACCAAGGGAAATAACTAAGGGATTACTGAGATTGCAAAAATATCAACAGAAACATACTGGTAGGACCACTTAACTAACAGTGCTATAGAAATAGCTGCATACTACTTGTGTTAGGAGCACTATGGTTCTACCACTGCTAATGTTCTATTTATAAAGTTCAGGGGTTCAAATTTCTTTAGATTAAAATTCTGTGGTATCTTTTCTTATATCAATCCACTCAAACAATTGACAACTTTTTTGGCCTTCTCTTAAACAAGAAAAAAACAATCAAAAATTAAATCAACAACAATATATCGGGGAGGGGGGGCCCAACATACTGGTGTTAGAATTTCTGAATACAAATTTGTTATCTAGATATCTGGGAACACAGTAAATAATCAAGTTGATAATAGAGCAAATAGCTGATCATGAAACTCTGTAGGGCCACATAGAAATAGAGCTGTGAAAAAGAAAATCAAATGCTACTATAGAGAGCATCTGAAAGTCTTGACCATCAAAGTGTTTCCCCAAACTTGCTCAGGTGAGCAGAACTCTTTATGGGCAAAAGAACCTAAATAAAATAAAAAAAAGCAGTTGATGAAAAACAAATATTCTTGAACATTTAAAGAAGTTAATAGATAATTTTAATCATTCCTTTGACAGAATGCATGCATTAACAAAATATAAAATCATTGAGACTTTTGTCTTACAATCATTATTTCATAACAAATATAAATGTCCAACCATATAAAAAATTGTTTCTACATGTTTCGGATATTCCTTCAGAGTTCAAGATCATTTACTTCTTAGCCCAAACCTCCCACAGCATGACGGGGGTAGCATGGGGCAGGGTATGTACCCTGGACCAGGGAGACAACCGAACGACAGTCCTGGTATGTGCTGCACACATACCGTACAACCAGACAACCATTTCTATCAAAGAGTTGGCATGTTTTTGTCATGTCTAATTGGCCAGAGTACATACCATTCATTATAAATATCATGGGACAAAAAGGAAAGTTTTATTACTTTTTACACTTCTAGAAAAATGAAGTTTCATGTTAAATACTTTCTTATTCCATCATTGAAAAATATTTCAAATGATGGTCTTATGCTAAAAAATTCTATTTTTATTTGAAAAATTTTACAGTAGATGAGAATCTTCTTTATACATCAGAATTTTACATAGTCTAGGAAGACAATATACTTTTTTTTTTTTCAAAGTGGACAACTACAGTTAAATCACTTCAGTTATAATCTGTGAGATAAAAGATAACATATGTGTCACAATCATTAATTAGTGGATGTCAGATGTCTATGAAGATGCAATGATAGATGTCAAGTTGAAGATTATCTTAGTCTACATCACACTAACAATGATCGTGATTGCCGAGGATCTTGAAATCTTCTTTTAATAAGATGATCGTATAGAAGTAGCTAGATCTAGTTGATAATACGATCATTCAAAATGTTGCCAGTTGATCATCTAGAAGTTGTTAATCGTTAAGTCGATCTAAGTATGTTACTATATTCAATGAAGAAACTTCTCTTCGTCTAAAACAATTACTTTAATTCAGAACTTGAAAAAGCTATTCACAAATAATTACAGTGGTTAAATGTACTTGAATAGAATGATAGATCTACACAATAATATAATTGAGTTCTAATACAAAGCTTTAGTAGATGTTTCACTTCCTAGTTCCATGCCATGACTGACTAATAAACCAGAACCTTCCCGGGCTCAAGCGATGTCACTTGTCCAACGTCGCTCATTGCAACCAATAAATGCAGCCCAAGTTACACTAATTAACATATCTCCAAGTGAGAAATTACCTGAGGTTGCTGACGAGCTAAATATAGATACTGTGTACGTGACATATTACCCCCCGCTTTCTTAAGCATTTGTATGATAATAGAAATGCATATAAAATAATACAAGATAAATGTTAACTGTATATGTGTAGCTCATTTGGGTAATAATACTCATGTGAAAATGTGTACATATCCAAAAAATAAAAAAATGGTTGAGATGCTACAAGTTATTTGTAGTTACATAGTAAGTTGTATTATGTAATCACATTTTTGATCATGGTTCATAAAAAATAAGTGTATTGTCTTTAAACATTAACAAGTTACTGTACAGTTGGTGTCACATTCGAAATGAAATAAGACTATAATAAAATATGATAAAGATGAGCATCTTTTCTTCGAAGGTACTTTGGATAAACATATTACAAACTTGATTTGATAATAAAATATCTGTGAAGAGAAAATGTAATGACGAAACTAAGTAATTAACTATATACATCTGGACAGTGTGTCAGCAAATACATTCAAGTGACCTGGTATTGTCTTGACATCAAACTGGTAGTCCATGAGTTGTAGACTCCAACGTGTTAATCGTCCATTTGCCATCTTCTTTGAGTTCAGAAAAGCTAGTGGTGCATGGTCTGTCAGTAGTGTGAAGTGTGCACCCAATAAATATTTGGTGAATTTGGAAATAGCCCAGACAATGGCCAGACATTCACGTTCAATAGTGGAGTATCTAGTTTCGGCTTGTGAGAGTTTTCTGCTGATAAAAAATACAGGATGTAAAGTCCCTTGGTAATCCTGCATTAAACATGCTCCAATGGCTGATGAAGATGCATCGGTGGCGAGATGAAAAGGTTTTTCTCGGTTTGGGAGTTTGAGTATACTGTCTCTGGAAAAAGTTGCTTTGATATTCTCAATTGTGGCATGTAGTTCCGTAGACCATGGAATCTTGATAGGTTGACCCTTCTTGGTGAGGTTGGTCAATGTTGATGTGAGAGCTGTGTAATTAGGAATAAATGTTCTGTAAAAATTACAGAGTCCCAGAATGCTTCTGACTTGCTTCTTAGTTGTGGGGACTTTGATGTCTAAAATGCGTTTGATGATATCTTCTTGTGGTCTAAGTGAGTTTTAGCTAACTCTATGACCTAGGAAAGATACTTCAGTCATGGCTAATTCTACCTTGCTGGGTTTTATCGTGAAGCCGTATTGTTGTATTATGTTGAAACACATGTAATCCTTTCATGTGTTCATTCCATGTTTTATGGAATATGCAAATGTCATCTATGTAAGATACTGTGTCTTTTCGTTGGTTCAGTATTCTATGAATAGCTCTGTTAAAGGTGCTGCTGGCGTTGACCAATCCGAATGGCATGTAGTTGAACTGAAATAGTCCGAAAGCTGTTGTGAAGGCTGTAAATGGTTTTGATTCTTCCTTCATAGGAATCTGGTAATAACCTCTAGATAAATCTAGTTTGGTGAAAAATTTTGCCTCTGAAAATTGTGTCATAAGATCTTCAGGGTTAGGCATGGGATATGAATCGAGGTGAGTTATTTTGTTTAATTGTCTGAAGTCGATACACATTCTTGGAGTTGATGCTTGTTTACGTTTTACAAGTACAATTGGTGCAGCATATGGTGAATTAGAATGTTCTATGATGCCTTGTTCTAACAGTTGATTAATTTCTTGTTGAAGGAAATCTCTGTAGTGTATTGGTAAAGGATAAGGTCTTGATTTTGTAGGCTTGGCATCTGTAAGTATGATTTCATGTTCGACAATAGAAGTTTTTCCTGGAACATCTGTGAATATTTCTGAATGGTCTTTGAGAATGTTTGTCAATTCTTGTCTTCTCTGAGGTGATAATTTATCAATTTTGGTATCATGCCAAAATTCAGTTTGCTTCGTTGGTGTATCTGGCATTATGAAATCATTGCAATCATCCATATCATTTTCTTCTTCTTCAGGTATGACTGCTAAACATGGCATAACTCTTTCTGTTTGTTCTGTACTTGTATCATCATCTGTTTCAGTATTGTACTTTTGTAGCATGTTGATATGATATATTTTCTTCTTGTTATGAATGTCAATTTCATAATCAACATCTGTGATTTTTTTGAGTACTGAGAATGGACCTTGCCATTTGATAAATAGCTTGTTGTTCTTATCTGGTAACAATAAACATACTTTGTCTCCTGGTTCAAATTGTCTTTAGTGAGTTTTCTGGTTTTGTTGACTCTAGCTTGAGTATTTCTGTTAGCTTTATCTGTGGCTTCTTTAGCTTGCTCACATGCTGATATGACAAAGTTTCTGATATCTATGACATGCTGGAATGCTGTTTTGGACTCTAGTGAATTTGAATCTGGTTGTATGAGAGATTCTTTGAGTATTGACATGGGTCCTCATGGGTTGGCGCCATATATCATCTCAAAAGGAGAGAAACCTGTTGTTTCTTGTTGACATTGTCTATAAGCGAATAGTGCTGCAGGTAAGAGTACATCCCAGTTTTGTGGATTATCGTGAGCGATTTTCGATAAGATTTTCTTCAGAGTACCATTAAATCATTCACATAGACCGTTGCTTTGAAAGTGGTAAGGCGTTGT